TATCTTATCTTATCTTATCTTATCTTATCTTATATTTTCTTATCTTGTATAAGGGTAATAGGATATTCACTGTAGAAGGGACATGGTAAAGCTCAAATCTAGCCTGCCAAAAAAAGGTTTGTCAATATCTTTGGAGTGGCGTTTTTCATAAAGTTCAACTTTTCCACTATCAAAGAGGACACGAATGTACATGTGCAAAGCAAAAATCACAACTAAGACTTGCTGCAAACAGAAGATATTGATGGTGTCTCAACTATAGACATGTCTGAAATGTACCCAGTCTACTTGGAGCTCCCCTACTGGGAGCTGCCATGATGTATTTTTTAAACCAGTGTCTGTGCACTTGGAATATGGGGGTTTTAGTCTCCCCTGCTTCCCAGCACACGATCATGGTGTCACATGACCTTTCCTTTAAGTACATAAAAACTAATTACAGTTGAAGATCTAAAAAACACATATTTCAAATACAGCAGCACAGTGGTAATAAAAAATGATTGTCCCTTGATTGAACAGGAGTAAGTAGAACTTAAAACTTGTACTGGGACCATCATCGGAGGAGAGTGAGGGTCCAGATGAGTCTGCATGTGATCGAGAGACCGCAGCTTGGATTCCTAAAACCGGTACAAAGTTTGAGTGGGACAGGTGATGCAGCCACCTCCACCTCCACCCTCATTCNTACAAATTATTCCTAAATAAAGTCCTTTTTTTCAAGCTTAAGCTAGCAGCCAGTGCAGTGGCCCACGTTTTTGACTAACTGCACCAGAGCCCCCTTTAAAGTCATTGGGCCAATGAATGGGATGAATTTGGGCATAAATACTGTGTTTCTACATAGGACGACAGGCTACAACCCATTAACCATGCCAACTGCTGGTGGGTTAAATCAAATGGCTTGGCGAGCCAGTAATGGCCCACGGGCCCCACTTTGGGCACCTCTGCTATTGATAATATCAAAAATAACCAATCGTAAAACAGCATTTTGATTTCTTGGAATAGACTTAACCTAAATATTAGTGTTTAAAATGGAGGATTAAATATGTTAATACATTTTTTTTCATTCCGATCAACAATATGTAAGGTGTCCAAACCATTTTTAACAACTATGTCTGTCCACTGAGTTTATTTGCTTGCAGTGCAGAAGTAAACTGCAAACAACAAGAAAACAAACAGAAGCTGGAGTGGTGACGCTCAAGCTTGAATTGTTGGTTTTCCAGCCGGCTGAGCAGCAGCAGCAGAAGTCGTCATCCGAGTGGAGGAATCTTTTTATGGCTCCTGCACTCATGGCTGAAGGGAGGAGAGGAACAGTCTGCAGCGTTTTAGCCCACAATTTCATGATGGTTTCAGCGAAGAGGTCAGCCGAGCGTTTCAAGTGGCGGAGCAGCGAGAGGGCAGCATTGTAGAGGAGAGCAGGTAGCGTAATGATCAGGTAGACGATATGACATCAAGCGTACTCAGAGATGGCCCGGCACAGACAGCTGACATCCTTTCAGACAGAAGGAACCACTGAAACAAGACGAGACAAAATCAACACAGAGGAGAGCCATTAGCTCCGAGTCAAGAAGAGTTGTTATTCCCTGACAGCATCTCAAAGACACACAGTCTGAGCAGAAAATGGACAATAAATAAATATCTCAATGCATTCGTGAAAGTTGACAAATCTTTGGATTTCTGAGTAACCATATCAGTATGTTTCCATTCTTAACAGGTATGCAAATTATGCGTGCGGTGTTATTTATATCAGTTATATTTAGATTAGTATTTCTAAAATTGCAAAAAACTAGAAGAATGTGGCTCTATGCAGAGGTTTTATTTGAGATTAAAAGCAGAAGAAGAGGGTTTGTTTTTTCTGGAGGTGGCAAACTTGAATCACGAGGTTCCAGCAGGAGCCCAGAGCTTATGGTTGAAGGGAAATTTTATGTTTAGATTTCATTTAAGTTATTCATATACGATTTATCACACAAATTAAACCAACAAAGGGCTTCTTTGTCAGCAGCCTTACACAGAGTCTCTGAAATCTGAAAACTGTCTCTGACATTAAGAGGAAAAAGATACAAGAAGGCAATTGTGATAGAATTCACAAACTGGTGAGTTGATCAGTTCTGTGCAATAAATACTGACTAAAATGTGCTATAAACACATTATATTATAGTAGATGAATATTTATTTTGTATGATCTTGGATTTCTTTTATTTCTGTTATAATTTGGTCGTTGTGCTTGGCACATCTATTTTTTATATCCGTTCACTACAAAAACTGTCCATCCAAGCAAGTTTTTAAATTGTGTATCCCAGCAAAAATCTTTTTGATTTAATTTTGAGACTGATTTACTAAACAAGAAGAGAACGTATGAGATTATTTATCTTGTTAGACTGAAAATTTAACTCAAATTAAGTGGAAAAAAATCTTCCAATGGAGTAAGACAATCAGACTTGGTAAGATTTTTGAAATAAGAAACAAATTGAGTCAAATTAAGCGATTTCAAGAATCTGATTGTTTTAGTCCATTGGCTGATTTATTTCACTTGAGTCAGGTTTTCAGTCTAACAAAATAATAATCTTACACATTATAGTCTTGTTTTGTCAATCAATCTCAAAACAAGGTCAAAACATTTTTTGTTCGTGAAATTTTAAAACTTGGTTATCTGGGCAATTTTTGCAGTTTTGTCGTTTTCCTGGATGTTTTTGTCTGCTCCTTTGTTTCCCCTCATCACACCGGTTCTTCATCAGTTATTATCATGTCTTTATTTCATCCCCTGGTTTCCAGCTCAGTCAGATTCATGTTGTTCCTTTTCATTAGTTTAGTGTCTGTTCTATCCATCCTGATAGACTTTATTTTATTTTGTGAATATTTTTTCTTGCRTTTGGATCTTTCTTTCACCTCTACATCTTAAAAGTTACATTAAACTTAGCAAAGAACCAAACTTMTATAAAATCTAGAACACTTCATTGCTGGTAGCATATGTGAAGCAAACAAAAAATATTTAGCACCATTAAAGTGTTTTATGTAGAATTATCCACTAAAAACTTGACATGCAGTAAATGATCAACCGACAAACAATTCGTCTCTCAGGTGCTGTGGAGCTTTTGTTGGATTTTTTTATCTATAATTTTCAGAAACTTTTGATTTTAAATGAGGTGAAAAACATTTGCACCCTAATTAAATTCAAACACTTTGATTTTTTCCACAACACAAACACACCACTTCTAAGACACCTAATTTTTGACTTAGATTTTATTATTCATGTGTTTGTACAACACAGCATTATTATTACTGCTGACATCTTTCTATGTCTTAGCTTAAATCTTTATCTATTGAGACAAAGAAAAGAAAAGTTTAGGGTCTCATAAACTCGGCATAAAATGAATCTGATTCTCTGAATGTAACAAATTTCACAAGAGCTCGTTTCGAGTAAATGAAGTCACTCTGATCACTTTTAATGATTTAAATTTCGTTTATTTGGTAGCTCACTTTAAATGTTTTGTTTTGTTTTTCACTTGGTTGCAGTTCTTACACAGGAATGATAATTTGATTTCCACAACTGTTTTATGTTTTGAAGATGTGCCTTCAAAATTTAAAAAAAAAATGTTCACTCAGTGTCATTTCTGCTTTCGTCACTGAGGCTTTCAAAATTTGACTTCATTTCACTGAGATTCACGCAAAAATATTCCAAGAGCTTCATGTTGATAAAACTTAAATCGAGCTTCCGGAGGCTTAAAAGCTGCTTGAGGTTTGGCTGAGCGCACGTTTCCTCTGAACCGCTTTGATTTTGTTTTGTTTGGAAAAATCCACTCAAACAAGCAAGAAAAGTAAGAAGTTTCACTTCTTCAAAATTGCCTCATTTCTGAAAACAGATTTATAACAAAAACATTGGATTAAATTTAATATATGAACAAAATGTTTCAATTTAACAAGATACTGAGAGATTTTTAATTATTTTGATCTTATTTCATTTCAGTTTTATGAATTCTGATATGAGACAAATGTTTATTTGAAATACTTTTATTTTATTTTATTTTACTTGAAGTTTTTGTAAGCATATTTAAATGCCAAATTCTTTAAATGACCTAATTCATGTGCAGAGTGTTGTGAAAAAAAAAGACCACTTTAAACGAATAGTAAAATGAACTCTGCTCTCAGTTTAGTTTTATTAAAACCTTTTTGTGTCAGAGTGTTTATGAATCTGTCCAGATATTATTCTGTTTTGAGGATTTGGTTTAAACGGCTCTTGGCTAAAAGCTGAGTTATTGTTCTCGCAAGAAAACAAGCAGAAATATAAAAACTAATAATATTTTCACGCTGAAATGTAAAAGTCAAACCAGATTTTTTTATTTTATTTTAAACAGCAGCACTTTCTTGCGTCTGTCAGAATTTGAAGTCATTTTGAGGTGTGTTTATGTGGATTCATCTAAATAATGGTGGGTTATCAGCTGGCCTTGCGGGATAATAGCAGCCCAAAGTGGGGACAAACAGGCAGGTAAAAACAGCTCGTTGACGTGCAGCTTCTCCTCACATTTCCATGGCTGAGATGTGATTTAGAAAGTTTCTGTCTCCACATGCACTCAGTGYTTGGAAACTTTGGATTAAAAGATCTCCTAACTTTTTAGAAAAAWATGTGATTTTATAATTTTTTCTAGACGTTATAATCAATTGCAACTATTCACAAAGTTATTTATTTGTTTTTATGTCTTTTCTTACCTCTCTCTGTTGACTTCACATCACATTTTTACAGCCAGTGTGGCCGTGTTTATTTTATGATATCAAAACTAATATTTGACTAAATGAAAGTAATTGAGAAAAAAGTGTAGAAATACTTTGAAACTTGTTTGAAAAATATAAAAGACTTAAATGTTTCAAGAATCATAACTGCATACACATTTCTATTGTTTTAAGTTATTATTACATGACATTCTGCACATTTAGTKTCATTAAAGCTCTTCCTGTGCTTGGAAAAAAATGGAAATAAAGATGTGTTTTCAGACCGAGACAAACACTCGTGTTTGTTTTCTGTTGAAGTGAACTAAATGCTGSTTTAAAAAGACACACAAACAACCTCAGAAAGGATCCGCGTGATTACAGTTTTAAACTACTTCAGGACATCAGACGGGATTCATTGTGTCCCAATAATTGAATGCATTGAAGGGCAAACAGATGAGCATTGGTGGATGCATTTGGCCATGTGAGCAGCTGGGTGACAAAGCCAGAGTGACTCACAACTGTACTCTCTAACAGCTTTGTTTACCTGCCCTTCCTGCCGCCACAATTAATGCAGCCGAGAAGTGGACCAACCAGGTACCCTTGGAACCAAACACCCAGTCCAAGTACACTGTCCCACTTTGTTCCGCTGTGCATTTGGTGATCTGCATTGATCTGCAGCTAAGGCCTTTTATTTAACTTGTTGTTACAAAAAAAATGAGCAGCCATGCTGAAATGTTGCCACTCTGCACATAAACCAGAGGAGACAGGCACTTCTAGAAATTTAGATCTGAGAGTTTCAAGAAGCTACACTTTCAATTTTTTTTAAACAAAACAACTGATTGTTGATGGAATGAATATGCATGTTTGTGTTCGGAGCAGCCCTTTTTAAGATTTGTTTTGCATTTAATCGAAATCTCACCCATTATTCTCTAAAACTGATCATGTTATAAAAAAACAGTCTAAGCTTTGAAAAATGTTTGGAATTTGTTGTAAAAATAACTTGTGCAAAGACAGGAGATACGTATGGGGACATAACATTTAAATGTTTTGTAAAATAATACAAACTTGTAGCTTCTCATTTGGAAAGTTAGTCTGCATGTTGCAGAAAATCAGAAAATTGCTCTTGATTTGTTCTATTCACTCAGCAATGATGTTTGCAAATTATAAGTGTGATTTTTTATTATGTTACATGAAGGTTATTATATTTCTTTAAATTTTATTGTCTTTTTTGCAATAGCTTAAAACTGACAGAATACAATTAAAAATGACAGAAAATAACTAAACTCTGATCTCTAACTGACTTTGAGTTATTTTAATATTTTATGGAATTTTCTTTTACAAATAAAATCAAAATTGCAACAATAATTAAACACGTTCTCCCTCCATATCCAGYAGGGATTGTGGTGTCTTTGTTGCCCTAAATTCAAATCTCCTTGATGAACTTTTGCACTAAAAAAAAAAAAACTTTCCAACTTTAATCCTATTATAAACCGAGTTCTTCTGTTCTCCATCTTTCCCAGCTGCAGGATTATGCCCCAGCATCCCATTAAAGCCCATATTCTGTTTTTTGGCGCTCTATTAGCATCATTTCGTTCATCAAGCGACATTAATTGTGTCTGAATGCAAACTCCTGCAGAAGAATACGGCCTTCAAGAGGTCTGTCACATACTTTCTCCACTTGGAAGGACCTTTAACCTACTTATCCGAGGGACCGCATCGTTTCAAGTAGCGCAGCTGAAAGATATGCACCTGCCCGCTTTTTTACTCTCACACTGCGCCGCGGTTTAAGAGGAAGGAAAGTATTTGATCTAAATGGTACCACAATGACTGCAGGTGTGGAATGTCCTGCACAAAATCTCTGCACAAACTGAACCTCGAGGACAATAAATCCCGAGACAAAAATGAAGAACGCAATCCAACCGTGGAGTTGCAGCACATGGTTACGGTTTATTTGTGTCACTAAAGTAAAAAAGACCCACAAGMCTATTTTTTCATTTATTAAATTCAACTCCTGAATAAATACAACAACATTGTGAAAACAGTGGAACCGACGAATAATTTGACAGTCTATTTCTATTTAAAAACATGTCAAATGTCCTTTTTTCCATCTTTTTCACGAGTATGGGCTAAATAAATGTCAATGTGTGTAACGACATTAGCCTGAATACTTTTCATTTGGCACTTTTTAATTGTTTTGCGTAAAATCGTATTAGAAAAAAATGCGTAAAAGTTTGTTTTGCTGCGTAATTTTTCTCTCTGAACGCTAAAATCCTTATTTTTTACTCTGACATTTCCTTAAAAAGGCAGTGAATAAACATCAAGATTTTCTTTTAAAAAATTGCCAGTTAACAAACAGAGGAAAAATACACGATACGAGTGCATCAAGACAACCAAACCAAATGAAACAGTGTGGTGCGTAATTTACGCACGGAAAGTCCAACCTGGATAGATTCGACTCTTGGCTCATACATGTTGCTATTTATACACATATCTGTTTAAATCCATCTATAGATAATAAAGATTTGTTTTAATTATACTTTAGTCAATCCGCAGTATTTTTTAAAGAATATATATATATATATTAGAAATGAATATTAAAAGGCAACAAATCCAAATTATTTCCCGTGTTTTCTGCACTTTATACCCGGCCGATGTGTGATTGAGTTGGCAGGTCAGGACCCCGGCCCTTTAGCCATTTCTACATGTCTCTCAGGGTATTGAACTCGCATCAACGAGATGAAAAAAGCACTCCAGGAACCAGGCGCGTACAGGTCCATCTGCTGCGCTGAGCTGAGCTGAGCTGAGCTGAGGGGGTTGATGATATATATTAGAAAAAGGTTACGTGTTGGACATTAACCAACTACATAAATGGTTTGTTATTTAGAATCTGGTTAAAAACATTTTGATCCAAATAAAGCCTATAAAACATTGCATTAGATGCTCAGTCGCTGCTAATGAATTAAAGTCATTCTGATCCAAAGGTTCTGTTATGAATGTACAATTATTGATCTTCTGGAACAGGTAGCAAAATTTAGATGGCACAGATTTTACACAGAAATGGTACATTTATTTAATTGCTTAATTTTATTATTTTTTTGCTACGTGATTGCTAAATATTCTCCTTTTGTAACTTGCAAAGCGAGTAAAATATCGCCCAGAATAAATGACGAGTCTGAATTTTAGTAAAGTCATCATAAAGTGAAATTATATGTCAGTCTTTTTAAAATGAAATGAGAGCAACCAGCATTTTTCGCATTGTGTCAAGTTTTGTCTTCATGGGGATGAAAAAAGGTCAATAAAGACTRATTTAAAGATGTTTTTCCTCATAATTTGCGTCTTTCTTTCGGCAAACACACGACATCAAATTGTAGTTAAACAGTTTAAAACAACCAGATTTCTTTATAAATCGTTTCCGCGTAAAATCCAGAGGTTTATTGACCAACCTGGGCTCAGTCTCCTCCACGTGTCTCCGTCAGGTCCGTGCATCCTGCTCCCGCTGCTTTTCTCCCACATTTTTATTCACTGCTTTCAAAACTTACTTTTACAAAAAAAATACTGAAAAAAATCATATCAATTCAAAGCTTTTATACGCGTTGGATGCAGCCAACAAGAGACAGATTTTTATGGGATCCTAATGTGGAGGGTCTGTGGACTGGGGTCCTGCTCTCTGACTCGGTAATCCACGAGGTTGAGAGCTTTGCCTCATTTACATAATGTTAGAGGTCTGGGCCGAGGCCTACCTTTCTTTTTCTACTTGAAACACGGTGCCGTTCCCAAAAAACAGAGGGAAAAGAAGTGTGGGGATATTTACAGAAAGGGATTTTTATTCTAAAAAAAAAAAAAAAGAAAAGAAAAAGAAAGATGAATGTACCAAAGAGTTTATTTTAGTTGGAAGCAGGATTTTTTTTGTTATAGTCCTTCTCAGAAACAAAACAAAACTTTAACTCTTTTTTCGTGTTTTACCTAATCACTAAAGTTCAACCACTTCAAGTTTAAATCCAGCCTGATGTCTGAGGAGAGAAAAAAAAAAACAAGAAGTGGCTGAGATATGCATGAGAACAATAATTTATTACATTCAGGTGATCAACCTAACCGTGGAATGGGCTTCTCGTTGTGTTGCTGTAATTGATGGCTGACCATGTCACATCTTCATTTGCTCAATTAGGGAAGGTAGCTGCTCGCTGCCATGCCATGTGAAATTTCATTAGTGGCTTCATGCAGAAAAGAAGGAGCGCAGCAAAGACAGCTCCCACAGAAACATAAATAATAATAATAAAAAACAACAAAAGAAAAAATAGAACTTATAGACCTGCTGAAAATTCATAGTGATTATTTCAAAAAGTGGTTTCATGGAAATAATAATGGTTAAACTTATCAAAAATATTTTAATTAAACAAGTATATAAATCTAAAAGACTTCAAGAATTTATTTTAATTCTTATCACAATCTGTTGCAGCTTTTTCCCTCTTTGTCTCTTGAACTTCTTTTTGTTTCACTCCTTCTCTTCTTCCTCTTCTTCCTCTGGCGCCAGTCAGTTTGCTTAAAGATTACAACGTCGGGTCAGGACTGCAGAGTGTAGAGGTTGACCAGACCTGGCGGCTTGGAGCCAACATTGTTGCCTCCAATAATGTTGGCTCCATAAGCCCACCAAGTCACCACAAAAAAAAAAAAAAAAAAAAAAAAAAAGAAAAAAATCTGAACTTGATGGCAACTTTTGGCAAACACAATCCAAGATGCGCGCCTGCCTCTCCTGCCTGCAGCGCGCCACAGACTCCCATTTTGGATCCCCACTGCCTTTCTCCCCCCCTTTTTTTAAAAGTATTTTGTCATTTTGAGCTTATTTGGACTTGTCCCTCTGCTGGGGTAAAATGATGCTTAAGAAGACTAAACGAGCTGGTCATACAACTTCATTGTGGCTCTTTGATGATACTCGGTGGCCCTTGTGTCTGTTCAAAGTGCTCTCAAAGTTTCTGAAAAGTGTGGAATTCCCCACTGACGCAAAAAAACAGTGGGATCAGCTGGTGAACGCAGCAAAACGAGCTGCTACCTGCATAAAGTTGTCAGAAAGGAGATGATCGTGAATTAGCGCGCGGTTTTAATCATATATAGAAGTTAAGGCATTTTTTCCGTGAATTATTTCCCCTAAAATGTCAATGACTATTGTTTGCTGGTTTAGGAGTTTTGCTCCGCCCCCTGTGTTTGTCGTAAACCTGGCTCCTGGCTCCAATAAACCCGGGCTAAGAGCGCCCTGGGCTCGCCTCCTTCTCCAAGGCGATCAATAGGATCTCAGGCGCACTCCAAGCACTCTCTTACGTAGACATCCACCAAGGAGAGAGCCGATCCAACAACACGGTTGATCTGCTCCAACACAAAAATCTACCTGCTTTCCGAATCATGTCGTTGAGCCCAAAGCACACAACGCCTTTTTCAGTGACAGATATTTTGAGTCCAATCGAGGAGACCTACAAGAAGTTCAGTGGCATGGACGGCGCAGGGAACCTAACCTCTCCACTGGGAGCCTACCGACAGCCTCAGGTGTCTCAGACCGGCATGCAGCAGCACTCCATGGGCCACAACGCCTCCGTGGCCGCCACGTACCACATGCCGCACAGCGTCTCCCAGTTCTCCCACAGCACAATGGGGGGATACTGCAACGGAAGCATTGGCAACATGGGAGACCTCCCGTCGTACCAGGAGAGCATGCGGAATAGCGCAGCAGCCACAGGATGGTACAGCGCCAACCCTGATCCCAGATACTCCACAAGTAAGTTCGTTTTTTTTTACACTTTTTATCTGTTTTTATGTGATTTTTTTTGTTTTGTTTTGTTTACAAAATGATCACAGATAATATCAGGAATTTGAGCGCAAAACTCACATGCTACATAGTTTCTGCTAACAATTAAAAGTAGATTTAAACCATTTAAAATTTTTAGGAATAATAATTAAACTGAAAAGGAGATCATTTTTTCAAGTCTGACTTGAATTCCTATAGCACCTACTCAAATTATTATTATTATTATTATTATTATTATTATTATTATTATTATTATTATTATTATTAATGTATTTATTTTGTTTAACAGTTAAAGCTTTTTCAAACTTTAATCGAACTTTTCTAATTAAATTGTAAGATGAATTCAGACAGAAACAGTGCTCTCCTCTTCTGTTTATTGAACGCATGTATATGTATGTATATTTTTAAGTTTCTAGATTCATGGGACCTTCCACAGGTATGAACATGACTGGCATGGGGAGTCTCACAGGGATGGCGGACCCCAGCAAAACCATGCCAGCGCTCCACGCGGCGCCCAGGAGGAAACGGCGCGTCCTGTTCTCGCAGGCGCAGGTCTACGAGCTGGAGAGGAGGTTCAAGCAGCAGAAGTACCTGTCGGCGCCGGAGCGGGAGCACCTGGCCAGCATGATCCACCTGACGCCGACCCAGGTGAAAATCTGGTTCCAGAATCACCGGTACAAGATGAAGCGCCAGGCCAAGGACAAGGCGGCGCAGCAGCTGCAGCAGCAGCAGCAGCAGCAGCAGCAACAGGACGGCAACCTGTGCCAACAGCAGGCGCAGTCCCCGCGGCGCGTGGCCGTGCCGGTTCTCGTGAAGGACGGTAAGCCGTGTCAGAACGGCTCCAACACGCCGACACCGGGCCAGCAACAGGTGCAGCAGAACCAGCAGCAGGGCCAGCAACAAAACGGAGCCGGAGTCGTGCTCGCGTCCTCGGCGGGCAGCCTGAGCCAGCACCAGAGCCAGCAGCAGGTGAACGCGCTGGACCTGGAGGAGATGTCGCCCAGCCCCCCCTCACTGCACAGCCAGCTCAACATGGCCCAGATAGACACGTCTGCTGTAGATTACACCAGTAACATGGTCAACTCAAACCTCCTGTACGGCAGAACGTGGTAGGACCTCATAAAAAACTGCTACTTTCCACTTTTTTTATATGTCAACACACAGGCGCGCGCCGCGCGCAGACACACACCCAGGGCGCACAGAGGCTCAAAGAGGCGCATCAACTGATCAGGGCACATTTTCTTGACATCTCTGACAGGGGAGTCTATTTTGGAACATTTTTAGAAATGGCTCCCTTGACTACGTCGTTTCTGGACCTTTTGTAATTCATGTTTTGGACCTTCCATGATGTTAGTCTATGTTGTTGAAACAAAAAGGAGATGCTGCTTCCCCTATTTGTACTGAAGAGGAAAGGTGGACTCAGACACTAAAAAACACCATTCCTTCCTTTGCGGTAACTTGGTATTTTATCATAATAATATTGTAAACTAATGTATTGATTTAGACTTATTGAATAAAGTAGTTACTTGTATATTTGGCTAACACACAAGAAAAAACTGTATAATAATCATTATAGCATCCACAGTTCTGTTTTCTTTATTCTTTTTTTCTTTTCTTTTTTTTTTTTTTTTTTGTAAGTTAAAAAAGGAAGAAATGCGTGATGGCTGCTGTATATGTTTCAACACCAAGTGAACGTTAACAATAAATAACTTGAAGTGTGAGAGCTATTTCTGAATAAGTAATTTTTTTAAAAGGGATCTGGTTTTTGGAGTGCATTTTCATTATGTTGTTATTGAGACCAAATTGAGCTGGAAAGCAAGGTCGATGAGGTAGCCAGCATTGTTCAGGTGACATTTTGAAGGGCTGGCTTTCATTGGAGATTCTGCAAGACTTCAAGACCAGGAAATCACCTCTTTATAAAAGAAAGAAAAAAAGGAAAAACTTTGACACTTTTCAGCCAGTTTCAACACTGATAATAATGTATGCAATAATGTAATAATATATTCTGTCCTTCTTTTTTATTTTAATTTGCTGGAAACTCCTCAATCATTTTGACCTTCTTCTCCTCGATAGGCCCAGACCTTCGTTTTGCTGCAGTGTAATTGGTCAATTTTATTGTGAAAGCGAGCTTTCATTAAAAACGCAATTACAGCCAATTATCGCAATAAGAACGAAGAGCTTATGTTTCATAAAGGCATAAAGTACATGCCGCTCTTTGTAGTGACATTAAAGG